TTGGTCACAGTGCAACCAGATTCCAGCAGCCATTTGGTCACAGTGCAACCAGATTCCAGCAGCCATTTGGTCACAGTGCAACCAGATTCCAGCAGACATTTTGTCACAGTGCAACCAGATTCCGGCAGCCATTTTTGTCACAGTAACTGGAAGCCGATGAACAGAGTGTGTATTCCTTTCCTTAGAAGGGGATGAAAGAGGTCATTTGTGTTGAATATCAAGTATCTAACCCATCCTAGGAAAGGATGTTACAATGATTCTTGAGACAGAGAGAATGCAGGTACTAGGCTACTACAAGGTGTGATGCCCTATTGTGGACTAAACACCACACGCTGGGGGATCATATTGATGACTAAACACTTCAATGAGGAGTGTGGAAAATACCTCTGAAATCTAAAAGACACGTGGATGTTTTCCAGTAGGATAAAGATTACAGAGGAGTCACCAAGAGGAAGGGAAGATGATCTCACAATAGAGAAGAAAAGGGCAGCAAAGACTTGGGATCTAAAATAGCCTGGACATCACCTGTGTGAGAGTGGAGTAAGGCTTGTGGCAGAAGCCAAGAACAGAAACCACAATGGGACTTTTGCCCAAAACCAGACAGCTTGATTTTCACATTAGGAACAACAACAGAGACTTAAAAGGAGGTAGAACACGATCAGATTGGCATGTGAGAAACATCTCCCTGGCTGTTCTACACGGAGTGCATCAAGACATGAAAATCCCTGGGCACATAGTGCTGGGAACTCGGGAAGGAGCCTGCAGCAGCTACTCAGGGAGAGAGGGAAAGCTGCCTTGGACTAACACAACAGCAATGGGCTGGATAGAAGTAGCAGGAGGCAGTTTTACAACCGCACCTGTGGCTTAGGATGCACAAGGAGAAGCGAAGTTGGGGGGGGGGTAACGCTGTGCATAAAATGTGCTTCTAGGTAGCCCAGGTTGAGAGGCTCCAGCATGTTCAACTGTGGGCTTTTCCCTTTCTTGTTCCTCCTGGTCTCGTATGCCATCATTGTTGCTTCGGGTCCCCTTTCTCCAGGGCACTGCTCTTTGAACATTTGTCATCCATCTGCCATCTCCAACCCTACCCGAGGATCTGAGCTCTCCCTTCCCCTTCCATTGACCTCACCACATTACTTGTCCCTGACCCTTAGACATTCAACTCCCCAGGGCTTTTTGAAGGATAGATAGGGGCAAAGCCACATGTTGCTCCAGGGTCCCTTTGAAGACCTCACTTCTAGAGTGAGTCAAACTCCCTTGACTTATTCTCCTAACAGGTCCATCATCCACTCATGAAATAATTTCATATATGCATGAACCTGCAAAGAACAAATACTGGCTCTCAGAGCTACTCAGGCTATAAAACGAGAAAAAAGATCAACATTTTCCTGTCTTATCATTGGTGAGCATGATAGAGTCCTTGCATGACAGAGTCAGTGTTTTGTTCTTTTGGCTCAGCTTCCAAATGATGCTTCTTCATTCTTCACAGGACGAGAACAGGCCTGAGTCTGGGCTGTAACCTCTTCATGGTCACTTTGAAGATAATGACTGCTTCATCTAAGTACTAAGAAATCAGGTCCTAAAGACTCAGTTTCATTCTTTACAGTCTTGCTCCCCTTCTGCTTCTGCCTGCATAAGAACATATAAGCAGTGTTTTATATTTCAGATGCATCTATACTTTGTGTTCTTCTACCCAAATGACAGAAAGTGTTCAAAATAAAGTCTTGGCTCTAACATCCTCACTGGGTGCCTGACACTCAGTAAATTTCTTTATTTTTAAGTTTTCTCATGAGCAAAGTTTTTTTTATTTTAATCCAATTTATACTGAATGTAAAAACACATGTGAACGAAGCTGACCCAGTAGTTATTTTTAAACATATTGTGTTTGGTGCTGGCTAAAACCAGAAGTATCAGATGCAACCACTCATTTCTGCAAACGAAGATGCTGAGGCGCACAGAGGGACATCTTGCCCAATCCCACAAAGTAGCAGGATCTGCAGTCACTGCCAGCTGCCTGATCCCTGCTGCATGCACTTTCCATTCTGCTGACTGGAGTGAGCCTGGAGCATGTGTTTAAGGGAGAGGAGGCCTTTCACTGTAGAATCCATGCCCCGTGGAAACGTTCCCCTAAATGTCTAGGCCCATGTGAATCTTTTCAATGACTGTGTGGTTTTGTGTTGGATGTTTTTTCCGGTACCACCCATCCCATTTCCCTGTTTTCTAAGGCCGTCTGTCAGGCACATCAAATATTAAGAGCAGTGGGAACATTCTGAGGTTTGTAGTGTATGTATTTTTCCCACCAATTAAATCTTCACTTCTCAACTATCACACAAAAGGGAGAGGAAAAACTATTTCTCTCCTCCCCTAAAGGAGAAAGGCTTTTTAAAACACTTGGCAGAATCCACTGTTCAAAGTGGAAAAATACAAATCAAGCAACATCAGATGAGAGAAGCAAAAGAACACATGTGTTCAGGATAAAGTTTGTTTTCTCTTAGGCTAAAATATTGCTCTTTCATGATTCTGAGCTATTATCATTAGAGCCAGATTGTAGTCAATAATTTTATGAACACATCTTAATGTTTTCCCTTGGTCGTCATAATTAGGGAATGACAGGGGAGGAATTTAGCTGATCCCATCAAACAACAACGACATAGCACTGGTCGAGATAGGTTGTTTTCTAGATGCCAAAATAGAAGTTTTCTTTGTGTACCTTGGAATTTCTTTTTTACCCATAACTGACGCATATCATTAGTCTTATCACGAGGTCTGGTGTGATCACCTAGGAAATAGCCAAAAAGTACTACATGCACCGGATGGTCCACTAGCATCTTAAAGGCAGAACCTGATCTCTGTATTAGTTTCATTTTTCATCGCTATGATGAAATACCTAACCGAAACAACAGTGAGCATTTCAGTTCACTGCTTCAGAGGACTCACCCACCATGAAAGGGAAAGCTTGGTAGAAAAACTTACTGGAGCAGCTCAGTTCAAAATGTGAATGATTAGGAGGGAGGAAAGGAAGGAGAGTGGGGGAATGAAAATCCCAGGATAATATATGGCCAAGGACCCACCACCAGTGATCTACTTCCTTTAACTCAGTTCCACCTCTGAAGTTCCTAGAACCTCCCCAGATTGCACCACTACAAGCATTCCAATGAAATATGCTTGTTGAGGACATTACATATTCTAACTGCAATCCTTTTGATTGGAGTCCCATATCTCCCTCCCTTCCTCTGACTTGTCTTGCCTCTGACATTCCTCTCATCATGGGTTGCTGAAGACATTAGCTACTCTTTTCCCTCATCATTTTTCCTCTTCTCTTCCTCAATGACCCTCGAACTACTTTAAAGAAAAAAAGGGAGAAAATATACAACTTATGAAATCCATGATCCTTATGTTATTTCTTGGTCCCTTGGAGTGTGTTCTCACCCATTCCTCCATGTATCCTATGACAATCCAAAGGAACATTAAAAAATATGAAGCTAGTGGTGGTATAGCCATCGTGTGTCTCCCTGATCTCTGAATAAGGCAGCATTCTTCTGACCTGTAAGATATTTCAGAATCCCATCTCTATCTAGCATTCCCTCATTTTCACCCATCCCATCCTCATGGTATTCAAGTTCTGTTCCTCCCCAAGCTCTCACTATTCTTTTCCAAAATCATGCTATTCAACATCCTGACTTCATTTATATTTTACTTCCTGCTTGCAAATCTTACATTTGAAGGCCCATTTTTTACCTGGAAACTTCCTTCTTAATCTGAGAGACAATTCAAATGCACTCAAATTTTAACATAATTTATAAATTTTCTCTGACAACCCTCCAAGACTTAGTTCAGTCATATGTTATTTGATAATCTCAAACAAAACAACAACAACAAAAAACCTTAGTTGGAGCACTCTAGTGGCCAGTACTGGCTGTTACCCAGACAGAGTTAAAAACAACTGAAGAAGCTAGTCTCAAGACATGTGAGTCTTATGTTTCACATGAGTCTTTAGACATGTAAGTCTGTAAGGGTTTATCTAATTAGATTAATCAAAGTGGGAAGACTTGCCCAAAATATAAATAGTATCTCATGGGCAATGATGCTAGACTAAAGAAAGAGGAAAAGGCAAGCTAAGCATAAGTCTCTCTCTCTCTCTCTCTCTCTCTCTCTCTCTCTCTCTCTCTCTCTCTCTCTCTCTCTCCTTCCTATCTACGGACTCAATGTGACCAACTCCTTCATGATCTTACCATCATGCCTTCCCTACCATGATGAATTGCAACATCAACCTGTGAGCACAAATAAGCACATCCTTCATTAAGTCCCTCTTATTAGGCATTTGTCACAACAAAGAGACAAGAACTTAATACAGAAAATTGCTTTCAAAGAAGTCAGGCTATTGCTATGCTAAACCTGACCACATGATTCTTGAGATTTTTTACCTAGAAGGATTTGTTACAGGCCAGAAAAGTCCTTGACCATTGATAAACAGAATGTAATGAGACATTCTGGGAATAGCTTAGAGCATAAGGCTGCAGAAAGAATGGACACAGTGAATACCCAGCTCATCATGTTCAGAGGGGAACAAGGACTGTATCAGGAGCTATGATAGAGAAAATCTGTGTGATATTTTAGCAAAGAGCCTACCTTCATTCTGCCTACATCCTGAGAACTTGTGTGACAGTGAATATAGGAGGAATGGGCTAATGTGGTCGGCAAGGGACTGGAACAACTACTGCCTACTGTTCCCATCCAGGTCAGCAGTGAGAGGGCAAACATGGAGCAGAGAAAACGATTTCTTTAAAGGAAGAGTGACATAAACTTAACCCTACAAAAGAGACATACTCCAAAGCAGTGGTGGTTAGAGAGATCAGTGTCACTAAAGAGAAAGTTGGGGGCAGCACCAGGATGACAGGAAAGGGATCTTGAAGGTGATATTTCACTCACCAGAAGCACAGATTCATGAAAATGCAAATTCATTTGAAACAAAGGAGCCCAAGCTGAAGATGCTACTAAAGCCATTCCCTGCTCAACAGCAACCACCAAGGAAAATGTGTCCCCAGAGTCAGCAATCAAAGGACAATGCAACTGAGATCTAAAGGTGCCAGGCTCCCTCCTGAGCTGCTGGGACAATTTAGTATTGTCAGTCCTGTGATGCTAGTTCATAGGCATTTAAAAAAAAAAAAAAAAAAAAAAGATTAACAGAGTTTTGGTGTCTGCCACCATAGTTCCAAAAAGCCACTAAAGCCATGAAGAATTTGGGAGTGTCAGCATCCCTGCAAGGAGGGCCAGAGAGGCCTTTGCATGAATCTGTCTGTGAAGGTGAACCTAAGTGAACCTAAGTTACTAGTGAAAACATGGATGTTGGAGATTGTAAATGTTCACGAAGAACTGCAGCATGCAGTAGGGACAGCCAAAGAAAGAGCTGGCAAAGCTGGACCAGTGGGGTTGCCTAGGTCCTTTGGGGTCCAGCTGATTCCATTACAAGATGCAGATGTTGGACATGAAGCTGCCGCATGTCACGAGTTTGACCTACTAGGTTCAGTCTTATTTTGGCCCAATCATTCCTTGCTACGCTTTCATTCCTTCCTTTAGGACTGGAAGTCCTTTTTGAGGCATGTATAAATTGGAAATATATAATATTAATTTTATTTGACAGGTGCTCACAGTCAAGAAATTGTTTCAAGCCCCAGAAAATAGTGTTGAGATTTTTAAGAGATTATGGAGACTTTTAAAGTTAGATGGAATACATTTTCCATTATGAGAGGAGCATGACCTATGGAGACATATATTTGCATGTCAAATTGATAAAGATTAGACTTCTGATGCTGGTTAATATTGACTGTCAACTTAACAGGACCTACAATCATTGAAGAGACATGTCTCTGGAAATATCTGTAAGCAATTATCTACATTAGATTAACTGAGGTAGGAAGACCTATGCCACATGTGGGTGGTACCATCCCTCAGTACCATTTTTAGGGTCCTGGACCCTAAAAAGGAGAAAATGAACTGAGGACAAGCATTCAGCTCTGCTTCCTGTGGACAACGTGGTCAGCTGCCTCAAGCCCCTGCCATCATACCTTCTCCACCGTAATAGATTGTACCCTTGACCTGTGAGCCAAAGTAAACTCTTCCTTTCTAATGTTGGCCAGGTATTTTGTCTCAATAATGCGACAAATAATTAATAAATAAAAAATCATTGTGGTGGAATATTCCTTTACACTGTGGGAAGATGTGTCACTGTGATTGGTTTAATAAAAAGCTAAACAGCCAATAGCTAGACAGGAGGTTTGGCAGAGATTTCTTGACAGAGAGAGCTCTGAGAGGAAGAAAAGTGGGGCCACCTGCCAGATGCAGAGAGAAAGCAAGACATACAGAAGGAGAGGTAAAAGCCATGATTCACAAGGTGCTGTGGGATGGTCTGTATGTCAAATTACTCTGATTGGCCAATAAATAAAACACTGGCCAGTGGCTAGGCAGGAAGTATAGGCGGGACTAACAAAGAGGAGAAAAGAAAGAACAGGAAGGCAGAAGGAGTCATTGCCAGCCACTGCCATGACAATCAGCATGTAAAGATGTCGGTAAGCCACGAGCCACGTGGCAAGGTATAGATTTATGGAAATGGATTAATTTAAGATATAAGAACAGTTAGCAAGAAGCCTGCCACGGCCATACAGTTTGTAAGCAATAGAAGTCTCTGTGTTTACCTGGTTGGTTCTGAGCGGCTGTGGGACTGGTGGGTGATAGAG